AATCTCTCAGCTCTTCAATATGAAATTCATACTCTCAAGCGTGTCAAATGCTGTGCCTATACATCATACATGCATATGCATGTTTATAATATGAACAATTATAGGGAAAATAAGGAGAAGACGGCAAAGCTGGTCGAGTCCAAATTGACCTGCCGGTTTGATTAGAGCTCGATGCGCATCCTCTTAAGAATAGTTAAATGATTTTCCAGGGCCTTTGACCGTATCAATCACACATTATTGATAATTATTATTATTTCATTATAATAATAAATGGGAATAAATAAATTATGGTAAGTCCTTGGACTTTGACTATTTTATTTATGTATCTTATTAATCCGCACTGCAACACAAGGTCTTCGGCTATCTCCAATCGAAGGGTCCAAATAGTCGAAAATAGCCCGAAAATCATCTCCAACCGAGAGCTAGGCCAGAGCGCTCGTGGGCCCCACGGAATCTGAAAGGGCCAAAGGGCCAAAGGGCCACAGGGTTGGCCATAATTTTGCTTAAAACTATCAAATTTCCATTCTATTTTTTTTCCTATAACTTCTATTTTACAAAATTTGGTTCATATTTTTTTTAATTTCTATTTTTTTCCTATAATTTCTATTTTACAAAATTTTATTCAAATCCAATGGCTAGCTGATGTCACTTAGCCGTTGGATTTGAATTTAAGTCGTAGTTTTTAATAATAAATTGTGTTTGACCCTTTGGCTCTCGATTGGAGACGGTGTTTTGTGACAAGGCTAAAATGAGCCCTTTGGCCCTCGGTTATCGTATAACACTGCTTGGCTATTCTTATCGTTGTATCACATATTATAAAACATATTATGCCTGTGATTCAAGTTAGGAAGTATTAATTTAGGAAATTGTTATTAGCACTCTAAAAATCTCATTTTACACTCCTCACAAGTGTATTTTTCTTTCTAATTATGGAAAATTTGGAGTGTCAAATAAGATTTTTAGAGTGCTTATAATAATTCCCTTAATTTAACATAAATAATGTATGAGGTGTAAGTGAGAAGATATGTGTATGATTAAGTTACTAAGATCTTAATTTTGTACATATTATTCAACGTTATTTAAGAGCATAAGTGACAATTTGGTTGAAAACGAGAGCTTATTTAATGATAGTCCAAATAATCTAATTACCTATAAAAAAATAATAATATGAGGACTAACAAATATATCAATCCTTCAAAAATTAAAAGAAACTAATAAGTAACAAGTGTTATCAACGCCTCAAAACTTGTTCAGAAAGGTTTGACAAAGGATCAATTCAACTAAATGAACACAAACCAAAGTGACAAAGACTCGCACTTATGAGGCAGCAGACTGATCTTTTTTGGAATAAGTCGCTAGTTTAATCAAAGTTAACAATGAAAACCACCAAAACCGTTGGAATTAACTCAAGTCCTCAAGAAAGGTGTGGTCGTGTTAAAATTTATCCTTTACTAACGTCGTAATTGGAATTGTTTATTCTCTTTATCATCATATAGACCATCTCTAGAAAAATACATTTGATTTGGATGCTATTTAGCTATCTAAAGATGTTGAATAAATCGACAATTATGATAGCAAATACCATCCTCATGATAAACCATCAATTTTTTCGATTCATAAAAATAACTATAAGTAAAGTAGTACGACTTAGTCTTGATTTTTTCAAAAAGAAAATGGCAATCCATGTAGGGAAGTGGGGGCTGGCCAATTATAGGGATGATGGTCATTTCCGAGTTCTAGGATCATCACATCTTATCTGTTCATTTATTCATCGTGCGGTTAGTTTTCGTTAGGTAATATTTGTGTTTAATTTTAAATAAAAAATTTATAATAATTTTTTATCACACGATATACGATGAACAGATAAAATGTAAAAATTCCTAAAATTCTAACAAAAAGGATTCGGATGCAATCCAAATCCCAATTACAGTACCACAGAGTTTTAGCAAATGGAAGTTAATAGTGATAGGTGGAGAGAGGGGCACCGCACCATGCGCGTCCACCTACCACCATCCATCTTCAACATTGAGGATCTGATTGAATAATAATAATACAAACTCAGGTTTTACAACTTACAACTAGAACCAGACTACGGCCACATACAGCGCGCACACACATATATGTAGAATTATTAGAGAAACAGGTCAAAGATTCATTTTAACAATATTGATATTGTCCTCAATTTAATAATTATCACCTGCACAATCTTTAGTATTAGTTAGAGTAGGATTAATGTATTTTAACTATTACTTCTCTTTTTTTACAACCAATGTAGGATTCAACACGACTCCTCACATGAGACACAATTAGTGAGTCACATATGGGAAATCCACGTATTAGTAACCACGTGCCAAGGGAACTCACCTTATACACGAGGTCAAGGGATCCACCATATTAATTAAAGTAGAGTTAATGTATCTCAACTGTTACTTCTCTTTTTGTACTGCCGATGTGGGATTTAATAATATATACATGGCAGTTGTCGATCCATCCGACAACGTGTTGAATGTTTGACATTTTCACACATTTTGTCTAGCTCATGAACTAATGGCAATGGCATGGGTTCTTGTGAATGGCTTCCCTCCACGGATTACAACACAGTGGGTGTCGTTCAAATTTTCAATGAACTCCGTCCACTCTGGAATCTCATTAGATTGTTGGCAGAAGACAAACATTAAGGAGACTTTTTACAAAATTAAAGTCTCATAAATTCTCTGACATCTTATGCTTTTGACACAATATTTTATAATATTGATGCAAAAATTATGTCTGGCAGAAAGATTATAATGAATCTCTCTTTAAAAGAATATGTATGGTATTTTCGTTGGCAGAATTATGTTTCTCAACCCATGTCATATTGATTTTCATTTTTATTAAATACAAGCAATATTAAAAGATGTGGTCGAGATTGAGCACAAAATCCCAATGGAAAAATCACTACCTTTTTTATATAAGGGAATACTTGTATTCACTTTATGCGAATACATATATCCACATGTAGTAACATATTTTTACCGTACATAATTCATAACCAAAACTGTTTAACTTCTTAATTATCATATAATGAGTGTGGAACCAATAGACGGTTTTGGTTCCAAGTTACATTTTTGTGATGAATTGTTCATTTATTTCCTATTCAAAACCTTTTAATTTCTTAATCATCATATAATGAATGTGGAACCAATCGACGATGTTGGTGCCAAGTTACACATTTTTGATAAACTGTCCATTTATATGATAGATTTAGATGACTAAATGATCGCCAATTCAAATCAATTTTTATAAGAATAATCTTTATATAATGATTAAAAAAATTAAACCGTTCCGATTATGAACTTGTATGATAAAAACATGTTATTTGAAAGGGGTATCCACCTCATGAACTGGTACAAGTCTTTTTTATTCAATTTATTTATTTGATAAAGGAGCTGATTTATTATGGACTTTCATTTTCTGTTTTTGCACACTTTTTCTAGCTATTGGATTGAACAAATAAGAGGTGGTGCTATATATTTACATATCCATTTTTACCTCTTACATTCCCTCTCAATTTCTGACCGTCAATCAAATGAATTAAAGAATATCAATTGACAAAAATTAATAAGGCGTGAGGTGAAAAGGGGTGTGTGAAAAACACTACCTTAAGAGATAATAGATGACCAAAATTATGAGAAGTGTTCCATAAAAAATAACCTAGTAGTTATGCACTTTTGGTATCTTTATTGGTTAGCATCTCCAATACATCGGAAAATTTGGACTTCAATCCTATATTTGAGTCTAAATATGAGTCTAAAGTTCTCTAATGCACAAAAAACTAAAACTTACAGACAAGCATCCGCTGAAGTTGGGGCCAAAATTTAAGTTTCAATATGAGATTTGAGTCCAAAATGAAGCGCATACCAACTAAAAAAAACAAATAATTGAGTTTTTAGACCAATCATCCCAATACACATAACCGAATTGTTAAAGAGTTACGAGTTCACATGTTTCTCGTGCCTGGTTGACGAGCTCCTTGTTGAAACCTTTTCCTCCTCTTTTGGGGATCTCGCTAATCAACTTTGAGATGCCATCCCGCAAGGGAACGACAAAATACTAAGAAAAAGATAATAATAATAATATTTTATTTTTTTCCTTTCCATCAAACGCACAAAACACCCTAAGGCATCTTTCTTCCGGTTGTGTATTGTTTCCTCCTCGCATAGAAATTAGAAAACGACAGGAAGAAGCGTGTCATGTTGCACTAAACCACCACCATCTCACCACACCAATACACAATGCCATTACCATAGTTATTATTCTTGTTCAAATCTCTCCGCTCGTTTCACTTTATTATCATCATTTTACTCTTACCAATTCATCACCGTCAAAATGAAATTTTCCTAACTCATGTTTTTTCGTTACGTGTCATAATATAGATAGACAATGACATACGTGACAACATTTTGAGTTCCATAACAAATTACTCATTTCAAAAAAGAAAAAAAAAAAGCAAATAAGGGTTTAGTCAAATCTTCTTATAATGTTTTTATGTTGCATGTTATAGTATAGGTGGACGACATAATAACATCAAACAACGATGTTTTGAGTATCATAAAATGATACTCGATCAAAAGAAAGAAAATTAAAGTAAATATGAGTTTAGCCAAATCGTCACTTGATGTCGGTGTTTCGAGTATTTTAATAAATTATTTGATCAAAAAAAGTTAAAAGAAAAGCATATCCGGAATTAGCATCCAAATTTGAATTTGCCCTTCATAATTTAGATGCATTTGCTCTCGAATTCGAATCCATCTCTCACAGTTGAGATGTATTTTGTACAATTAACATATCGTCCGCAGAAAATAAAAATTTAGAAAGAAAAAAAATGGTAAAAAAAAGGTATTGACTTAACCATGGTTAGCGTTAGGTGCATTTGACCAGTCTGGTTTGGTAGGCGTTTGGTTCCGTCACACCTTCGCACCAACACACGCACACCAGCCTCGTTTATAAACCCACTCCCTTCCCTCCTTGCCCTCACGCGGAATTTCCCTCTCTCTCCAACTACCCCAACCACCAAAAGTCCCCGCTAAAATTACTCTCCCGTCACCGGAATCCGACAACTCCTTTTCTCACACCTCCGTTGCCGCCACCGGATTCCGGGCACCACTTCGTCTTTAGCAGCTGCCAATCAGCTTCTTTTCAGATGGAGTCCTCTTCCAACTCGATGAAAGTCTCACCCTTGGATCTGATGGCGGCAATCATCAAGGGCAAGATGGACCCCGCCAACGCCTCCGCCGACTTCTCGGGGGCCCAAGTCACCTCAGTCATTCTCGAGAACCGCGAGTTCGTCATGATCCTGACCACCTCCATTGCCGTCCTCATCGGCTGCGTCGTCGTTTTGGTCTTGCGGCGATCCAGTTCCCAGAAGCAGCCTCGTGTCCTCCAGCCTCCCAAGCCCCTCATCGTGCTGGAACCGGAGCCGGAGGAGGTCGACGACGGCAGCAGGAAGGTCACCATCTTCTTCGGCACTCAGACTGGTACCGCCGAAGGCTTCGCCAAGGTCTGCTTTTACCATCAACACTTCAATTTCAATCGATACTTTTGCTCTGTTATTAGTTCCTTTCATGCTTTGCTTCTACTTGTTCGACGACGTCGTTTCGTTGTCTCAACGTTTCTTTTGGTTTAAAAATGCAGGCTTTGGCCGAGGAAGCAAAAGCTCGATACGAGAAGGTCACATTCAAAGTTGTTGATTTGGTATGCTTCGCAAGTATATTGATTATTTGGTGTATTTTTTGTAAAATTACATTGGCGATCATGAGATTGAATGGAGTTGTGTGTACTTGGTAGGATGATTACGCTGCCGATGACGAAGCATATGAGGAGAAATTGAAGAATGAGAGCTTGGCATTTTTCTTCCTGGCCACGTAAGTTCCGAATTCAACTAGATTTTTTATAATTTTTATGATTTAGTTTGATTTTTGGGTTTCGTAAATGACATGTTTGATTGGTGGTGGATGCAGATATGGTGACGGTGAGCCAACCGACAACGCTGCAAGGTTTTACAAATGGTTTACAGAGGTAAATTTTGATTCTTGGATTGTAATTAACAAAGTTTTTCAGGTGGTGGTGTGAAATTCGATTTTGGATCGAAATTAATTAGAATGTTTGGTTATAATTGCGAATTGTGGTGATTGTTGTAGGGTGAAGAGAGAGGGGAGTGGCTTAAGAATCTTCACTACGGAGTGTTTGGCCTCGGAAACAGGCAGTATGAGCATTTCAATAAGGTTTGCAATGCAATTTTGATTATAAGTAAAGCCAATATTCATGTCACTCTACCATTTGAAGCTTGAATGCTAGTTTACATTATTCTGTTTTCTTTGGCTGTTTTGATTTGTATTTTTATTGTTGTTAATCAGGTTGCCGTGGTTGTGGATGAGATCCTCGCTGCGCAGGGTATGCCTTTACATTTTTTTTTTTTTTGCCTTCATGTTATTTTGGGTACTTTTGTTTTGTTCCGTTATGATGAAAATTGTGTCGGAGTGTGACCATTTGCCATTCTGAGATGATTCACATTGCTATGATGTAGCTTTATCCTCGATCGAGTTGTTGATTTTTGCACTCTAGCTTAGAGTTGGTTCATAGTTATCATTTACTTATTCACATTCCAGTTTCCTGTTAGCTAACGAGAATGTTACCACATTCAGGTGGGAAGCGACTTGTTAAAGTCGGTCTTGGAGATGATGATCAATGCATTGAGGATGACTTCTCTGCATGGTATGAAGAAGTTTGATAATCATTTGAGTTAATCGCTTGAGATCATAATCTTTCATCAATTATTTATTAAAATCTCATACATTTCTACATTGTTGCTCTTCTAGGCGAGAGTTGATGTGGCCTGAGTTGGATCAGTTGCTTCGAGATGAGGATGATGTCAAGTCACCTGTTTCTACACCGTACACTGCCGCTGTATTGGAGTATCGAGTTATAATTAAGGATGCTGCAGATGCATCAGTAGAAAGTAAGAGCTGGAATAATGCAAATGGTCATGCTGTCATTGATGCCCAACATCCATGCAGGTAACAAAGATGAAATAATCTTTTATATTTCTAAGACTAAGACTGCAACTTGTTTTATAACTTTCTGGTATCTGTTATTTGACATACTTTTTGCTACATGTAGAGCTAATGTGGCTGTCAGAAGAGAACTTCATACTCCTGCATCTGATCGTTCTTGCACCCATCTCGAATTTGATATTTCTGGCACTGGACTTACGTAAGTTGCTTTTCCAAGGCGTATTATCCTCTTGTTTATGAGAATGCAAGCTATTTTAAGCTTTAAAATAATGTTGAAAGTGAAATGCCCACTGCTTACCCATGGTGGTTAATGCATGCCTGTTCTTTTTGTCCTTCTCAGATACGAAACTGGGGATCATGTTGGTGTTTACTGTGAGAATCTTCCTGAAGTTGTGGAAGAGGCGCTAAGTTTGTTGGGTTTGTCCCCAGAAATATACTTCTCAATACACACTGATAGAGAGGATGGCACACCACTAAGTGGAAGCTCCTTGACACCTCCCTTCCCACCATGCACACTAAGAACAGCACTAACTCGATATGCTGATGTTTTAAATTCTCCGAAAAAGTCTGCCTTACTCGCTTTAGCAGCACATGCATCTGACCCAACTGAAGCTGATCAATTAAGACATCTTGCTTCGCCAGCTGGGAAGGTAATATAATTTGTACTTTGATATTAACCAACTACTAAGTACCTCTCTTAATATTACGTCACCAATTTCTAATTGTTAGATGTTTGTCAGTATCTAACATCTTATTGTAAGCTTGCGCAGGATGAATATGCACAATGGGTGGTTGCAAGTCAGAGAAGCCTTCTTGAGGTCATGGCTGAATTTCCATCAGCCAAGCCTCCGCTTGGTGTCTTCTTCGCGGCAGTCGCTCCAAGATTGCAGCCTAGATACTATTCAATCTCGTCATCCCCAAGGTAAATGTTTCTTTCTTCTTGCTTCTCTCCTCTCAAATTGTCTCTTTTCCGTATTAGTAACTCAATTTGAGATACCAAGAGTTTCCTTCAGACAAAAAGTACTATCTATTGAAATGGAGGAATGCTATGAGATAAAGTGACTTTTCTTTATCACTTTCTGTGGTTGAATTTTTGTTTTACATCTTATTTAACATGTACGTGATCAAAGACTTGTTACAAATATGTTCCACAGGATGGCGTCTTCTAGAATTCACGTTACTTGTGCTTTAGTTCATGAGAAAACACGAGCAGGAAGGATCCACAAAGGAGTGTGTTCAACCTGGATGAAGGTAATTTACATGTTTTCTTTTTGCATTCTTGTTTCTCAAGAAGAGCTTAACCATTGTGGCAGACTTGTTTTTGTATCTGAGCTGTCTTTAATCTAGAATCACTTGTCTTCTTCTGGGATTGTACATATGCTTATTTTTAGCCATTGTTCCTGCATGTCATTTGCGTTGATTTAAACTTAATTGTGTTACTTCTGTTCGGCTTTCTTAGTAACTTATAATTTCGAATGGATGCCAATTTTCTCTCTTTAATCCTTTTGCAGAATTCCATTCCTTTGGAGAAGAGCGATGACTGTAGCTGGGCACCCATTTTTGTTCGACAATCCAACTTCAAACTTCCTGCTGATACTAAAGTACCTATTCTTATGATTGGTCCTGGAACCGGATTTGCTCCATTCAGGGGTTTCCTGCAGGTATTTATTGGCTAACTTGATTTCCACTCACTTTTCTTATCACTCTTTATAAGTTACAGTATCCGAGCAAACTATAAGTTATTATGGATTCACCATTTCAGGAAAGATTGGCTCTTAAAGAAGATGGAGCGGAATTGGGATCCTCCACATTATTCTTTGGATGTAGAAATAGTCAAATGGTAAGTATGCTCTAGAAAGATGTATTTATGGTTCTGGCGGGTGAGCGTCAGTGCGTGCTGGGTTGCTTGCCTAATTTGATTCTGGCATTTGATAATTGATGTACTCCTAATATTGCAGGATTACATTTACGAAGATGAGCTGAACAACTTTTTAGCAACCGGTGCACTTTCTGAGCTGGTGGTTGCTTTCTCACGTCAGGGACCCACCAAGGAATATGTGCAGCATAGAATGATGCAGAAGGTTTGGCACCTTCTCTTGCCTACATACTTTAACAGTTTGACGTTTTTCTTTCGGTTAATTTGAGATGTTAACAACATTGTTCGGCTTGTGTATAGGCGTCAGACGTCTGGAACATGATATCTCAGGGAGGTTATATTTACGTTTGTGGTGATGCTAAGGGCATGGCCAGGGATGTCCACCGGACTCTTCACACAATCGTGCAGGAGCAGGTGTGCGAATATGCGTGCTTATGAATTACTGGTTTGATAAATGTGGTTGCAATTGTCACCTACCAATTATGAATGTGACAAACTAAAACCACCTACCACATCTTTGTGGCTGCAAATTATATAGATCCCTGTTGTCGGGACCAATGAAGTTAATATAAAACAAAACCGGCGGATACAGGACTGTAATTTGATGCAGTACCTGGAAAACCTATTCTTGCCGGCATTGTAATTTTCACAACTGCGGTAAAATCTATTCGATCATTGTAATTTTATGCAGTACTAAGCCGGTTATTGTTTATTTGATTTCAGGGATGCATGGACAGCTCCAAAGCCGAGAGCCTGGTGAAAAATCTGCAAATGAACGGAAGATATCTGCGTGATGTGTGGTAACAGTTCCTCCTCTATCTGTTAGAGTAAGATCCCTAGAAATTATTTATCTGCTGAGGAGAAGTTGGGGATGAACACATTACGGGAGGGATTTTTCGGACGCCTTCCCTTTGCCAGCCTTGGAAGAACAATTGGTCTTCTTGTGATTACAGCAACTCGGTTCTGTGATTCTTTTTACCCTACGGTATTTATCCAATATGTAGAATTATTTTGTTCGTGTAATTTATATATATTGCCGATATATATAATAATAATAATAATAATAATTATTATAATTATAAATAGGAACCAGGTTTTCTTCGTATGAACCTACAAGAAGGTTCAAATGACAGTCAAATGTTGTTTCATTCTTCTCTGTAATTGTATTACATGGATCATATCTATGCTGAGTGCAAGTTATCATCTCTTCTATTTTATGCAAGATCTAACGGTTGCAAAGATCCATCAGATCCCCATACTGATGCAGAAATTCTTGCAACCCCTTCTGACTTAGTAGTCCACACTGACGCAGAAAATTTGGACAAATAATGTATTTTTCTTTGATAATTGAACTAATTATTTAAGAATATAAATTTCCGGCTGCCACAATTGACATAAAGCATAAATAATTCAACAATCTTTTAGGAAAATAATATCACGTTACAGTACAAAGTAAAATAAACAAGTGAGATTTAAAACAAATTTTATATTGACATCCTCTTTATGTACTCCGTTAATATTACGGTGCACTTAAAGTCATGAGGTATTACAGCTACGCTCCAAAACAAATTAGAATGTAAAATAAAATGAAGGGGGTTAGGTCCGCCAGAAGCTCAACCACAAACTACTCCTCCTTACCTGCAATGACGGGCATATGTTATTGGTGACGTCCTTCTATCACATAAAGAAATTAAAAAATATAAAATTTTCAGCAAATTTTAGACCACGCAGTCCGTCATGTGTGAGGGATTTTCAATTGTCGCCATTTAGCACTACATTTAGTGGTATTTCTCTTCACTTTTAAGTAAGAGATTTTGGGTTCGTTTCTCGCCAAATGTAAATTTAAACCACGTTATTGTTAGCTCATTATGAGATTTAATTCACACCATTCTCTTAGCGTAGATAATATCGTTTGTTCAAAAAAGAAAAAGTAATTTTCAATTGTCATTTTTCACTGGGACATGAGGATGATGTCTTCGCACTTCACTTCAAGCACCAGTTTTAGGTGAGGAACTACTCGATTTAGACCTGGTTTGGTATTGAGCTGATTCTGAAAAAAGTTGGTATAAAAAAAAGCTGAGAGCTGTTTTTGTGTTTGGTAAACATTCAGTTTCAGCTTTTTTTCACAGTTTTGGGTGAAAAAAGCCAAAAACAAGAAGCTGCAAAACCCAGCTTTGAAAAATCGGCTTTTTTTTTCACATCTGTTTTACATAAAAGTTTACCAAACACTATAATACTGTTTTTTTTTTTCAAAAGCACTTATACAAAAAAGTTTACCAAACACTCTGCTGCTTTATTTCACAGCCGCTTATTCTCATAGCACAGTAAAATTAACTTTTTTTTTCAAAGTACAACAATACCAAACTAGTGCAATGGGCAGTGCTATGGCTGGCGGTCTATGCAATACGCATTAACGGTTGGAAATGACCCACACACGAGTCGACGACCGACAAGAGCGCTGGGAATTGGGGCAGGGTGGACAGAGAGATGGCGACATTTTTGTTGGGTCCAATCCTTTGATGATGACATTTATATAATATTCACATGGCGTTCCAAGTCAAGAAGCACCAAATGCTAAGTTGGAAGGGCAGATGAGTTTTTGACTTTGAGAGGAAGTTGGAATGATTGAATGATGGGAGTTCAAGTGTTTGTTGTTGTAAAGGTGAATGCTAGTGACCGACGCTTGTGGTATGCAAGCCCTCACACAGGTGAGATGCCACATTAACAACTAACAATTAATAAATATTTCACAGGTGAGATGCCACATTAACAACTAACAATTAATAAATATTTAAAATATGTAGGATACCACTTGATATAAAATCACAATTGAAGCCAAACTACTTTTTGTCGAAAAGTTACAGTACTAGTATGTTGTATTCAATGCAACGTGAAATGAACACGGAGATTTAATGAAATAAATTCTATATTTTTGTCATGTTTATTTTTAGTTGAGAGACTATTGCTCTAATTGGATTAAAGTTGAGGGACCATATCTCCAATTTGGCTAAAGTTGAGAGACAATTTCACCAATTGGGTTAAAATTAAGGGATCATTGCTACAATTTTTTTCATTTGATTTTCCATATTAACCTCTTGATTAAGCCTCACATGCATGACAGAAGTTCTAATGGAGTTAACAAAACTTCAGGTTTTGTTGAGTTAAGGCACCAATAGGCATGAATTTTTAGCTGAGCGATCATTACTCCAATTGGGTTGAAATTAGAGGACCATTACTACAATTTTCTCGTATTTTAAATATTTATTTTATTACAAGCGGTATCCTACATTGAGAGCAGAAAGAGGGTTTGAAACGAGGACAAAATAAGAGAAAAACTTAACTACTAGGATAAACCATCACTTGTGTAAACAGTGAATCCTCTCTTTCTAGCCTATTCAGTATGAGGTTGACTTTTTCAGTTTCGTTAAAATATTTACGATTTTCATCAGATTTTGCAAATTGTTGAAAAGTCTCATGGGCAATGAATGCCCACAGTTTCATTTGTGAAAGTCTTCTGCATGGGCAAAGTTTTCAATGCCCTGCAAAGTGAAAGAGATTGTATAGTCAGACGAAGTTTCATAAATTTCAAGATGCATTAACTGCATCAGTTTGGAGTTGCTCTATAAATAGAGCACTCCGCATGTTTTTAAGTTACAGAGCAGAAAAAGAAAGAGAGGAAGAGAAGAGGAGAGAATACATAGAGTTATCCTTGTACTCCTATTATTCCAAATTATAATAAAAGCATCACTGTTGCCCGAGGACGTACTCCAGTCACACTGACTGTAGAGGAACCTCGTAAATTTTGTGTCTTGTTTTATTTATTTCACTGTACACACATCGTTGATTTTACAACACGTTATCAGCACGAGAAGCTCTCATGTCAGTGGAAAGCACAACGCCATAAATCCGATGAAGCACTATCCACCTCTCACCTCCGTCATTTAAAATCTCACAAAATAAAAGGTATGTCCATTTTTCGTCTCTCCCAGTGCGCCAGAAGCGCCCCACCGAATTCCGGTGAAAATTAAAATTTACGACCTGAAGTCGTCACGAGATGAGAAAACTCGTACTTGACAACTGGTTTCCAGAGATCCAGAAGAATCTCATCAGACTTGGAAACCCAGATCACGTTGTTTTCGATGGATCTCGAGAACTCCCATGAATACTTGGTTGTTTGAGATGGTGATGGCAAGAATGAATCCACACAGGCCACCCTCTCTTGTGCCTCCATCAACCCCATTGTCATCTATGTCTCTGTAAGGAAGTTCTTGCTCAACGATGACATGTTCCCTGTGTCATGCAAGAACAACGCCAGTCTCTAGTAGCCTTTTGGATTGAATTGAATTTGAGCAACCTCCATAACTACCTAGCTGACCTTGTGTTTCGAGACTGGCAGAGACAGAGAAGGAAGAAAAATAATAGAAAAGGGGGATTGATGGAATGGCAAGGCACATGTGAAGAAGAAAAAAAAGGAGATGTTGACTGCAACCAAAGAAAAAATATATATATATATATAAAGGATTTGAATGGTGCATGACACCATTTGGTCAACATAACATAAATAGGTTTCTGTTGGTGCATAACACCATGTTGTAGGTTTGAATAAGTGCTGACAAAAGAAAGAAAAATAATAAATAAAAGGAGGTATGATACTTCTTGTTATTTATGTGAATTGGTGTTAGTTTAAAACCCTTTCACAAGTTCTATTTACTTTAAAGCAATTTATTTATCATGGACGGTTTTACCGCCTACTGCTTTAAGTTTTGATTTATGTGAATGGTGCTGAATTAAAGCCCTTGTCATAAGCTATATTTACTTAAATGCAATTTATTCATTATGGCTGGAATTACCGCCTATTGCTTTAATTTATTTATTGTACTTCTTTTTGTTACGATTAGTACATACTGGACCCGAAGTTCCTTGATCAGATCAGAACCTGCAGTTTCTTGATCCTCATCATATAAAAATGATTGGACCTGAAGTTCCATAAAAAAAAAAGATCGGGCATGAAGTCCCTTGATCATCAAGATCAGGACATGAAGTTCCTTGATAAGTACCTTAAGTTTGAAGAGCCAAAGTGTCTTAACTTAATTGCAATAAAAGCCATAAGAGTCTCAGTCTACAGATTATTAAATAAAGACCAGAAGTTCCTTATGTCCATACTAAAAAAAAATGGTTTAGCAGAAGTATTTATTAAGCGGATGAAATTGATTACCCGCGCTCTGCTCATGAAAATGAAATTGCTAATTTTCTACATAAGGACATGTCATTTTACATGATATATTATTGATTTGGTTGAGACCTGTTGACAACCATCAATATTTCTCAGTACAACTCGTGTTTGGGAACCAGCCAAACATTATACATTTACGAGTTTTTGGTTGTGTTATCTATGTGCCTATTGCACTGCCACAACATACTGAAATGAAGCATCATTGCGGATTAGGCATTGATGTTGAACATCATCTATCGTTCAATATTTAAAACCCTTGACTGGGGATATATTTACCGCGTGGTTTGCGGACTGTCATTTTGATAAGATAGTTTTCCCACTGTTCGGGGGAGAAAATAACTTTGTTTCAGAATAACGATGAGCAAATATCATTCCAGAAGAATGATGAGAAAAATCGTTCCAGAAGAACAAAAAGAATTTGTCTTATTTTGATTCATGAAGCAATCAATATACAAACGAAGTAAGAATAATTGAATGATGCAACGATATGCAAATCAAATGTCAGATGCATTTAATGATGCAACGAAAGTGATGAAATCACATATGCTTGCTACAAATGTACCTATAAGAATTAATGTCTCTATTGGACAAAATAATATGGCAGCAAATGATTTATCTGTTGCACGCCTGAAGCTTGGCAGACCCTCAAACTCAAAAGGTTTAGTCCTTCAAAAAGAAAAAGAATATGGCACTACTAAAACTATTGCATTCTCGAAGCATAACTGTCGCATGCCAGACGCATGACAGTTGCCACAAGGATACCTATTCTGAAAAGGTCAATCCGCAGACATGGGAATGTTGATGTCTCATGCATGAAGCATGATAGACGTATAGGTTCCAATGACTCAACTCCCGGAAGTGGAGATTAAAATTCAAGCTTTATAACGCTCAAAATGAGGTTATGATCCGCATTCTCTAAATTACGACTATTCTGGAAGAGATAGTGTAATACCCTTGAAGAGGCAATGGATATCCCAAAAGAAATGAAAAGCTTTTATGCATGCGCATGCACATGAGAATATGGGATCATAGATTGATGATAACCAATGGTAATTTTGGTTTTTACAAGTAGCTACTAAATTCATCAATGAGCTGTGGTGATATTGAGTCCCGTTCTTTTCCCATCAACAAAATTATGGGCTAAAATGGATAAAGGCAAATCCATTACAATTTTGTAAGAACGTAGAAAAATAGACCTATATACTTGGATACAATACAAATAGCCAAAAGATGTTGAACCTAAAAGGTTACATATGGGCATTTGTAATACTGTGAAATACACTCACATGATATGACACAAGGTTGTAAAGGAGTTCATATGAATGGAAAATTATATATCTCCATAAATAAATCCCTCAAATATACATGGAAGCAAATTGCTCTGTATAAATTCTAAAGGAAAATGTGTCATGAAATGTAGAAAATCCCTGAAGGATTCAAATTGCTTGAAGAAAGCCCCGGAAGGGTAAAGCATGAAATATGTACTCAATACCAATGGATGGTATAAATTACCTTAGTGAGTACTTTCATTATGGTATTGTTGCAACATACTAAAATCTCTTGCAAGAGTTGATGATATTAAATTGGGACTCCTGAAGAGTCAAGAAAGATTATAAAGTGTGAGAGAAATATTATCTCGAACTGCAGAATCGAAGAATATGCCAACACGAATCTTATCCATGATGTTTACGACATTAAAGAATCATATGGATTGAAGATTATGAGTTGAATACTCAAATAATTTAGACACTAAGAATAATCATTTATTTTTGCGAGGATAAAGATAAATTGATATTTGGTCCAGAAGTACCACATCTTAGTGAAATATATGCTTTATTGTATTTAACACAATACACTGAATGAAATAAAGCTTATATATTAATATCTCCAAGAAATTACAGTCACATGAGTTAAAACAAACAAAAGGGAACCCTCACAAAGGTTGCTCATGTGAAGCCTCAGTACTCGGAAGTACCCCAGAAGGGGAAGACACCAGAAGTTGATTATTTGGAGTTTCAATACTTGGTGAAACTCCAGACAGCTAAGACAATGGATGTCTTTGGAATAAAGACTCGAACCCCCGATTGTCATTTTGAGTCCGACCTTCGGATTCCAGTAGCTGGTGGAGCTTTCTTTTCATGCTCGTAGAGTAATTATTTGCAAGCATGTGTAACACTTTATTCTCATGCTTGAGCCTTCTAATCTCTTGTTTAAGATTTGCCACCTCAGCCATTAATGATTCAACTTGGTGAGTTCGAGCAAGTAAGCACTGGCCTATATTGGATACAGAGCCCGCACATTGAACACTGAGAGCCAATGAGTCTTGAACGGCCGCCTCATCAGACCGGTTTGAAAGGATTCTGTTGTCCTTTGGAGTGAGAAGATTCCTGGCTACCACTGTAGCAGTTATGTTATCCTTCATCACAGAGTCCCCAACCGTAAGAGGACCATTAGAAGATGAGAAGGACGGGCGCCATATGTTATCCTGACGCTGTTCGTCTGTATCAATCCTGAGACTCAAATCTAAGCAAATGTTAGATGGGCAAGCTTTTTCAGAAATGATGAAGAAAGTCAGATAAAATCTCAGAAGTGCAAGAAAGGGAAATTTTTGCAGGCAACAATTTTCTGAGTGTTTCTGAACAAAATTGATATCTCTATAAAAGGAGGGGCAACATGACCACTTATTCAAAAATCGAAGAGACACCGATTTTCGAATCTCAAAAGCTGGATTTCCCTGCATGACGTCTGTCAACATTTTCTCAGACGCAATCTCAGCTCTTGGATATCACGTGCAACTTTGTCAAAGATCTCTGATAAAGTTGAAAACGCGTGAATCTTACTGTTCTAATTACACCACAGTTGCTGACAAGAGTAAAGACACAACACTACTACCTGCTATTGGGAAATCCATATATATGTCAACCTCTGTACTCCATGGCAAGGCAGAACTGAAAAATATCTAACTCTTCCTCATCTCCGAGAATGCATCTTTCACAAAGTATCTCGAAATACTCAGTTTTCTTCCTCTCTGAGAATACCTCTACAAACAAGTCACACTAGAGTAAGAGTATCTCATATCATCAGGGACGAGAGTAAGAGTATCTCATATCATGCAATCTCCCTATCCTTTCCTTTGTCCTTGTTCTTACCTGCCAAGACAAGGACAGAGAAAACAATATGTCGGAACCTCCACTCAAACTTTCGCTGCCACCAAGAAGTGATGGTCCATTCAAATGCAAGGTTTGCATTCCACTCCTGTATCAGATGACAAATATTACAAGAGAAGATGCCAAACCTGCATAAGGAAAATATCACTTCTGCAAGGGGAACAAGTAAGGCAAATGAAAATGATACATTGAAGCATGTGGAGACAACCACAATAAATACATGTCAGTTCATCCCCGACAAAGCCTAAGATCACTTGTCACATGAAACTCCTCATGATCCAATTTCATTCAAGATCAAGCCTAGACGGCCTTTGAAGAAATCACAAGTCCGATTCAAGATCAAGTATCTACCATCCTTGAATCAAATTCAGCTCTAGATAAAATAGGTAAATTCAGACCTTTGGAGGAAGTCTAGCAGAAGGCCCTCTAACCCAGTTCAAGAACAAGTCTGTGGAAAGTTAACAACAAGTGAAACACCTCATTCAGCAACTATCACCCCTAAAAGACTAAAGCAGCAGGATGAATGATCAGCCTAAATAATTTGAAATCAGGGGGAGATACTCATCAAGGGGGAGCATCCAAAATAGATCAAGATCTTAACGAGGCAACTCAAGTTGATATGTGGGCATCCAAGGGGCAGTGTTGAAAAGTCTCATGGGCAATGAATGCCCACAGTTTCATTTGTGAAAGTCTTCTGCATGGGCAAAGTTTTCAATGCCCTGCAAAGTGAAAGAGATTGTATAGTCAGACGAAGTTTCATAAATTTCAAGATGCATTAACTGCATCAGTTTGGAGTTACTCTATAAATAGAGCACTCCGCATGTTTTTAAGTTACAGAGCAGAAAAAGAAAGAGAGGAAGAGAAGATGAGAGAATACATAGAGTTATCTTTGTACTCCTATTATTCCAAATTATAATAAAAGCATCACTGCTGCCTGAGGACGTACTCCAGTCACACTGACTGTAAAGGAACCTCGTAAATTTTGTGTCTTGTTTTATTTATTCCACTGTACACACATCGTTGATTTTACAACACAAATTGTGTTTTCATCCGGTACACTAGAACCGAATATTAAGAAACATTTGGTGCGCAGGTGTTGAAAGTTAAATTCAAGTTTTGAAGGACCTTGCCGAACCAAGTTGTTCGGCCCCGTTCCACTGAAAAATGTGTATGATTTTCAAAAGTATGCTCATCTGCAACCAAGTTCGAATCATTTTCCTCGTTTAGATGAATTTAATGTAGAAATAGTTTGTTAAAAAAAAAAAGAACGAAAAAAAAAAGAAAAAATCAATGCCTATACTATTTTGCTCATAGCTCGGGTGAAAAATGATCTCGTGCGTTTTTTTTTTTTTAAGTTTGGAGGAAAATAGTAACTGTTTACCCCTTTCACAGGTCTACTTGTGAAGATTTGGGGGTTGCATCCCAAACAAGCCCTTTGAACTAGAAGTAGTCACTTAAAAGTCACATTGAGTATCATTCACTTCGAAAGTCGCCGGAGGCGGATACAGTAGAACATTAGATGCATCACATAGGAAGCTGCAAAAAGAAATGAAATTAACAGTGATCAAGGATTTACACATGATCCACAATGCTGTCTACGTGCTACTACTCGGGCGGTCTCAACTGTCTTACCACTATTAACTCTTAATAAAACGCAATTCATCAACAAAAGTCGATGAAACTAAAAATTACGATCCTGCAAAACCATGCGTCAATTTTAGCGCAGCGAATAACCAAAAAGGTTTCATTTCAACTCACATGGTCTTGCCACAATCTCTTTCAAGTTAGAGAACCATTTGTCAGTTACAGCCCTTTTTAAATGGCACGGGCATGTCGATTTAATATCCAAGGATAGTAGGATACCCACCTCTACATTCAATACAAATACAATCTAACCACTCCAGGTTAAAACAAGAAAAGCAACAGCAGAAGTAGAGAAAAAATACTGGTTACCAAAGTACTGTTTTTCAAGCACGATCACTGCTGCAAAACTCATTCCTGTTCAGCATCTTCAATTTCTTCATCCTCTGGCACCCCACGAAGATAAAGAACATTATTGCATCTGCAGAAGGAAACATGAAAAGATTATTTACTCATTGACAACTAAGGTTCATGAATGTATGTCCATTGTGTTTCATGTGGACACATCCCCTATCTTATTCGCTGAGGAAACGGATTGTATAGACTAGAAATTTGAGAACTCGAATTATCTTTTGTCCTTAACTACAGAGCAATTTGTTACAAATCTCCCTCAAATCCTATGATACAAAGGGAAAGAAATACAAATGCCCAAAATGAATGAACGAATGACATTTCTGAATCAACAAATATTAGGCTTCTCTAGACCCCAAGAGGTCTCCTGCCACATATGGACTCTAGCAGAATAAACTACTACATGATCCACACTATTGCAACTTTTGTAGAACATGATCAACTCCACTAGATATCTCTAAGCTCAACCTTCTATTCGAACTCTCTCATCAAATTAACACTCGACTATTGTATTATCTTCTTTCATATGTTCCCAACTTTCTTACTCAAGGGGTGTTCATAATTATGTCAATATACCCAATTTCTTTGTTTGAAAGTAAGTTTACATACTCTAGACCAGAACATTCTCTATTGAAATTTGAGCACCGTGATAAGAAGAGCCGAGGTACGCAAAGAGTTAATTAGACTGGTAACTACGTACTATGTTCTACAGAGAGAGAGAGAGAGAGAGAGAGAGTCGTGTGATTACTATTGCAGCCTTTTAATGTAGATAAAATCAAAATAGACTAGACACTCCTCTAATTCATTGTTGGCCAAATCCTGCGGAAGCTTCAAATTTACTCCATATGTTATTTGTAGAATTAGAAAACAAAAGGTTGGTCTCATGGCCAACCCCAAGTGGTAAAGGCAGTGACTGCTCCACAAGGTGATAGGATATGACACCACCATTGACGGAGGAGCTCCTAACAAGAGCTGAGAGGACCGTAAATGCTAACAGTACTTGATATGCAACGTTAACTTTTGGAATGTACAAGCATTGATTGACAGCCCCATTCAGTTGGGGACTGATCAGTGATCAATGTCCCCTGTCACACTCCGTTCAGAAATATTTGTATGAATCACAATAAATTAGACATTCCTCTAAAACATTGTTGACCAAATCCAATGGAAGCTTCAAAGTAACTCCAGATGTTAGTTGTAAAATTTGAAAACAAAATATTGGTCTAATGGCCAATCCCAAATGGCAAAGGCAGTGACACTGCTCCACAAGGCGATAGGTTATGACACTACCATCAACGGAGGAGCTCCCAACAAGAGCTGGGAGGACCATCAATGTTAACAGTACTTGATATGTGACGTTAACTTTTGGTATGTAGAGGTATTGATTGCCTGCTCCGTTCAGTTAGGGACTGATCAATGTCCCTCGTCACACTCCGTTCAGAGAGATTTGTATGAATCACAATATACAAGACACTATAATACATTGTTGACCAAATCCATTGGAAGCTTCAAAGTTACTCCATATGTTATGTGTAAAATTAGAAAACAAAATGTTGGTCTCATGGCCAATCCCAAATGATAAAGGCAGTGACACTGCTCCACAAGGCAATAGGATATGACACCACCATCAACGGAGGAGCTCCCAATGAGAGCTGGGAGGACCATCAACATTAACAGTAATCAATAGCGACGTTAACTTTTGGAATGTACAGGCAACGATTGCCTGCTTCATTCAGTTAGGGACTGATGAAAGTCCCCTGTCAGCCTTCACACTCCCTATGTCATTTGTGGTTCCTATACATTACATGTCATATGTGCTTTATAGGAAAAAAAAAAGTCATACTATATGCTACAAAACTAGCAAAAATAAAATACAAAGCACATCCAGACCATAGAATTCCAAGGAAGAATATAGCTACGAAGTTCAAAGCATTCAAATGAACTCACCTTATCAAAATCTCTCCAAGATTTCCAGTGGATTGCCCATCAATATATTCTTCAGTGTTTGCCAACTATGCATATAAGATTTCAATATTAAACACATCCATCAGCTTCAAATTTATATCTCACTGAAAAAATAAAAATAAAAAAGGAAAGAAAAAACAAAAAGTTGGAAGTTTATAATAGTACCTGCAAGTTCATATAGGCATCAGTCGAGACAAGAAAACCTGAATTGAGGCATAAAACAGGATTAGGAATATACTAAGCATGGGATAAATAAAGTAATTTGCACGAGGGAACAAAAGAAAACACGGCATAAGTATCCAATACTTTTCCAGAACCGTACGCAACATACCTTTGTACTCCATTCCCCATTTAAGTTTCACAATGACAGTCTTTCCAGTCAGATTATTCAAGAACGGCTTCGGGTTAACTGGTATTGTCTGCATTATGCAAATAACCAAAAGTATCAAAATCCGAAGCACGCCTTTAAGTTGAACAAGTGAATTTAATTATATTAGCACATACAAATATTTTGGAGGACAGAATGCTCAGATTTTACTCATCAACTGCTAGTTAAACACGGGACGGATTTCAATGATATTCTCGTGCAATTTACTCTACTTCAACACTGTTTTATAATCTACCATAGACAACATGATGAATTGAAACATACATACATACTTCCATATCACACAAGTACTAAATTACTAATTAACAAACCCGAATTTCTCCTAAAACAAAAAATCTCCAAAGGAACAAAGTTTGGTTACAAAATGGAACCTTTCCAAAACTTGCATTTAATTTCAACGACCCAATAAGAAATCATGAGCATTCAAAAATCCTCAAAGAGATCGTATATTTTAGGGAGAAATTGGAAAACTCAGAAACATGAAATAGCAGTTCGAAAAAACCCAGTAAATTAAATATCCATAGTAGTTTAAGAAAATTCAAATGTGATGGAGAAAAATAGATGCAGAAAAAATTACTCACAGCCATTGGAGACAGAGAGAGAAGAGGGGCTTCAGCGGTAGAGTCGAGCTTGACGAGAAGGCTTAGGGTTTTTTCTTCACTTTTTTTGTATTTGGAGTAGGAGCTATATTGGGTCAGTTTTAATAATATGATATTTGATTCTTATTATTCTTTTGCCCTTCTTGTTCTAAAAAATCACTAAAATAAGTCCAACTGTTCCTAGGGCAAGGGCAGGGGCATGTAAATTGCCTTTTGAAATTGTATAAGTTCATCCGTTTGGCATAGGCAAAAATAAAAGTGCAATTACGATTACTATGCCTTGTGAGTATGTCTATGTGTACTTTGTTTGTTTTTTTTTTTTTAATAAATAAAACTCTTTATTTAACTTCGATAATTTAATTTTAAATACAAAGCAAATAATAATAATAATATTACAAAAAAGCATCAATTAAATTGGAAGAAAAAGCATTAATTAAAAATAAAAGGCGAATGAAGAAGATGGTTGGATAATTATACTATAAAAAATTTAATTCTTTTCCTATTTTGTATTTTTTTCCCATTTTCTTTTTTTTATATTACACTTTTAATGATTAGATTAATCTTGACCGTTGATTTTCTTTATTATTGAATCCGAAAGTCCAAACCGTGCCACGTGGCACATGAATAACTTTTTCAATTTTTTTTTTTCACTGTTGGAAATCCAACAGTCATGATCATCAAGTCGTAGAAATTGAACGACTTTCATCTGGCCACGTCAATTAGCAGTTGGTACAAAATTTACAGCAATGGGCCCATGACAATAGAACTTGTCGGCCTATTAGCCTTCGTGTGTTTTACACGCGATAGACACAAAAAAGGAAGCATGTGGTTGACATCATCATTGGCTGCTGAAGCAAGGCTGGGCTCAAATTGCTCAGGTTTTTGGCTAGGCATGTGTTGTCCCACCAATGGCCCTCCACAAAATGGATTGATGGAAGTAATTTTTTGGGCTAAAAGGTAATTTGGCAGCCTTGCCCTGCCTTTTGGGTAACGACTAGACTTGCTCTGAACTACCTTTAACCAACACTTAGAAAATCTCTAATTAAGAAATGAAGAATGTGGAAACAAAAATTAACCACATCCAATATGATAAAGACACGTGAATTTTCAACTCAATACGATGGTTTTGCCTTTGATGTCGTGAGCAAACCACATAGTGCCTCAAAAGGCCTAACATTTGCTTGCCCTACAGGTACTAGGCATTTGGGTCAGTTATATATATGGGTGTCCTTCGGGCCCATGATATCCAGATCCTACCACTATGCTATACCTGGCCCAAAAGAGGTAGGAATTTGACTATTCGGATTCTCTCTTGGGCTATAGCACATTTACTTACTAGAGGCCTCATAAAGATTCCTTGTAACTGTCTGCGGAGACTGGTCTGTATCACACTAGCCAAGGTTCCAAAAGATTAGGTGCTAGTCAAGCGGCGGGTAGAGGGCGTATCACCTAGGCATCAAGATGGGGGTTTAGGCTGTTTTTTTAATTTTTAATTAAATTTATTATATAACATATAAATAGATTTCTACTTAGACTTTTTATATACATAATTTTATTGTGATACATACATTGCATAATAGAATAATATACAGATAATAAAGTGTTAGAACATATTGAAAACATGGGGAACAAGCATATAATGAGTTTTTATCCAAGCATTCATGTCTCTTATAATTTATTAAAAAATACAAAATGAAAGTTATCTATTTTATGTCTAAGTGAGAGTTGCTATCTAGGTGGATTTAGGCAGGCTAGGAGGGCAACTAGGCAGGTCTAGGCGTCATTTTCTTAATTTTCAAAAGCATATGGATTAATCAGGGTGGTGGCCAGCCGCCTAGCACCTAGGCGGTGCTAGGTGGGGATTTTTAGGACAGTGACATCAGCAGAACATAGTGGTCTGCTTAGTATAAACTATGACTTCCCCTCCTTAAAAATAGCCAAGTCTAACAAGAAAATTGGTAATTGTTGCTTACTACTTATAATTCTCTATGTTCTAGTTTCTCTCATACTATTGTCTAACTTAGACATCGGAGGCTGTTTGACGAACACCCTCCCTCTTTTCTCTGGTGTTTGTCAATTAGGCTAACGATGTTTCTTGTTTTAAAGATGGAGTTTCATCAATTCAACCCTGGACGAAATTTGCGTCCACAAATTGGTGCTTCATTGAGAGAAACTGAGTTATACTCAACAAGTGCTTAGACATCTGAGCGAAGAAAGTAAATCTCAAAATCTTTCTTCATCACTATTCGTTCTTCGTTCATTATTCATCGTCCATTGTTTACATTGAATGACTATATTGAACACACGAAGGGCCACGAGCAAAAACAACAATGACCAATCCACTACCCAGCCCAAGGAGGCAGGAAGTCGATTACGAGGAGTCCTTAGGAAGCCTCTGGTTCGTAACTGTGTTGTAACTGATAAGTGCTTAATTAGTCTTTATTCTTATTAGTTTTTCCTCAACTTTGTTACTTGTTTTTTTGTTTTTGAATCATTTACTTTGTTTTTGTATTAGGCCAATTGGAGCAAAAGTAGATAAAGGAGAATTGTTGAAGAAATTGGATGCAATTCATGCCAAGTGCTGGAATGGCTCGGCAATTACATTAACCACAACAATTTATCAAGAACAAATTAGGACGATCCAGGTGGTGATCCATATACGGATAGAAAGATCTTGATGTCAAGTTTTGAGAGAATTTTATGGTTTGTGTTACTGAGGTCTGAAGAACTTATTGAATTTTTAGAGATTTTTGTTCGGTTTGAAATTTTTTTAGTGGGAAGAATTCAAGATGGTTTGACAATAAGGTGTTGTGGATGACTAGTATGATGGCAATACTTTTGAGTTGCGAGTTAAGGTTGGAGAAATATTAGATATATGCTGACTTATTGGGCTCATAAGATATTTACTTATTTCAAATGAGTTTTTTTGGAATCTTAATATATAAAGCCAACAACCCCTTTTGGGGTCATAAGCTTCACAAAAAATATTTGGACAAAAATGCGCCACCAAATTTTTTTTTTCAAAAGTAGCCTAAAATAATGCACCAAATAATACAAGGGTATCTTCATCATTTTAACTGTGTTTTTTAATAATTAATTCTTTTTGTACATTTTTTTTAGTTAGTAACTCATAATAAGCTAACAATAATGTGATTCAATTAGTTGTTCATTAAATATTATTTTCTCTATTTTTAAACACGTTCAAAACATCTAAAGAGGCGTGTAATGCCGTTTATAAAAAAAAGTCTTTCGCACGCGCATAATAATGTGATTAAATTAGTTGTCAAATGATTTTTTATTTTTTGACAAACGATATTATCTACACTAAGGGGGAGAGGGTGGGCAATAATGTGATTCAATCAGCTATTTATTAAATATTATTTTCTCTATTCTTAATGTAAATTCAATAGAATGTAGATGGAAATTGAAAGACCGATTTCCTTTTGTCAATTCACGCATATAAATACATTTAAAATGTGTAAGTCGCGTGTAGTATGTCGTGATTCAAAAAATACCTTATGCATGTACGTGAGTGCGTGCAAGAAGGCTAGTCCAAATAAAGTAAAGAATTGCAGGCTTGGAACGAGGGATTAAAACTTTTATAAAAGACCACTTTCAATTGCATAGAAGATTGTCAAAGACCTGTTCCTAACCAAGGGAAATTCTTGCCATCACTTTTCTCTACTCAATTCCCTTGTGTAGTTTGTCAACGTCTTTTAACAATTTTGTTATGTACTTTAATTCCATGTCTAGCTAAACCTATTATCCTAAGGTTAGGATGAAACACTTGATTTATTCTCAATTTCAATGCAAACTTGATGTAACTTTCATATTTGTATTCTTGAATCTCTAAACATAATTCTTCATTGATTATTTATGGTTTGATGCTTAGCTACCATTATTCCATCGATATAGTGTGTTTGTTTGTGTTGAGAGACCATCTTGACTTACATGTAAGCACAACGATTTAGAAATTGCATATGTGATAGGAGCATATTTATGCGACTTAATTGGCTTGTTCTTGTGCATTTACGTTGTGTTTCTTTAGTTATTTTAGTCCTTTATGCTTCTTTTGTGTGTTTTCAGGTTCTAAGGGCTTAAGGAGCAAAGAAGTGCATTTTGGAGCCTTTTGGAGCACTTTTGGGCTAAGGATGGATAGCTTATGTTTGGAGCCAAGGTGTTGGGCGAAATTGAGGCACTTTAGGACACAAAACAATGGCCCTAGCCCAATTACACAGCCCCAAGCCGTGCATTTTTCCCTTCTCCCCTTCCCTTGTCGTGCAAGGGGGGTATTTTAGGCCCATTCTATGCACCTAGACCCTAATCCTTTTCCTTGCAGCCACATTGCCCTTTTATTTCTGAATTAAACCTATTTCCTTCCCCTAATTCCAGCCATCTTCCACACCTTTCCAACCTAGCTGCACCCTACATACATTAATTAATCACTCTTCATGATGGCAGCCACATTCATCACCAAAGAACCAGCCTTGCCGTGCATTCACCCACCATTCCAGCTATTCCACACACCTTTCCAACCTAGCCGCACCCTTTAATCATTCACCCTAGCTGTCACTCCCATTAATTAAATCAGCCACATTCACATATCACCCCATAAGTGGTCACTCCCATTCGCCCCCATTCATTCATCAGCCGAAGACAACCATCACCCAAAAACCATCCAACCCGTGCATTCCCCCTTCATTCCAGCCTTCCCCCATCCTTACCGTAGCCACCATATCCCTTCCAGCCACCATCCACACCTCCATACACCTTCCCATCACATTGCCACACCACTAAACCACCCTACATCCATCCCTACCCTAAACACATCATTCTACATCATCCATAACCCCCAAAACTCACCAAGACTCCTTGTGCCGCAGCAACTAGGAGAGGAAGGAAGCCTAGAACGGTGCATGCTTGCAGATTAGAGCGTTTTAGGTGTACTTCGTTCTTGTTTTCAATGTTTACTTTGTTATTCCTTTCTAAGTTTGCTGTAATCATGAGTGGCTAAACTCCTAATTAGTTAGGGGAAAGTTTGAAGCCATGAACATGTTTGAAATATGAATTGATTTCTTCCAATTGTGATTTGTTAAGTTATGATTGCAATTCAATTATCTGTTTATTAAAAACTTGT